ACTACTATATATATATATATATATATATATATATATATACTAATTTAATTGGTGAAAAGTCTGACTTGAAGGGATCTATTGGTTTCAGAAGTCACGTAGTTTTTTTTTTTTTATCCTTTGGTGGCCTTTTTCAGTTTTTTTTATAATACTTAATGCAAATAATCTGATTAAGTATGAAATTGTCAGACTGGTTCACCATAAGAGACATACTTTTTAACCATAATTTTCAAGACTGTACAGATAGGCGAATCCAATCCATCAAACCGTTAACGAGTACCTTGGCTGATCTTATCCAAACAAAAACCGAGTTAGAAAAATGAACAAAAATTTTTAATAGAGTATTTTGGGTAAGCGTTGGATGCTTTGCCTACAACATAAAACTTATATAGTTCTCCTCATTCAACTATCCATTCTGAATGGAGGGATGATTTATGGGTAAAAAAGTTAAAAACAAAACAGGCATAACATTATAATTACAACCATATCGACTTTTCATTTAAACCGGACAACTAGGAAATGAAAGACGTATACTTTTGATATAAGGGAAAGAATATATAATATTTTTTTCCTCTTTTTAAACTATTTTTCCTAAATTTTTGTAATTTTTAGAATCTGGTTCTATTGGCTTGACCGGGATCAGATTTAACCGGACCAAGCCTCGAGCAAATTTGGTGGATGATGCAAATCTAATTTCACCAGGATAAAGGTTAAACCACATCAATTACTATGAGGATTTTCCCGGAATTTTCTCATACCAATAGCTTGTTTTCTTAATTGCTTATTTTTGACTGACCTTGACTTGGGTCTTGATTTTGTAGGAGTTGTTGAGTAGGGTACGCGGTGATCTGGATTCAAGTGGGCCTGAGGAGTATGGTTGTACATAATCTTGTTCCTCTACGATTGCACGTATACGCGGAAAGTTGTTTAAAGAAAATTTTTTAACGGCCGTTACTATGATCATTGGCTGTTATTACAAGTAGAAGAAGTTTGAGAATTCATGCTCACGTTATTTAAAAGTCCGCTCATATTTTTGCTTTATGTATATATTTTTTGGGGAAAATGGGCTGAGATCACAGTGGTACTACATCCGATGGCCTAGAAAGCGATCTTGGACTCCATTCCGACCAAATTGTCCTATAATTTTTTGCTGACCTCAAAGGGCTGAGGTGAATAGACTTCTAACCTTCAAGATTTGAAAGCAAGTAAAAAAAAGAAAAAAAAAGAAGATAAAAATTATATAAATAAAAATACAAAAAAAGGGATTTTTTATAATAACGGATATTTAGGGAGAGATTTCATAGATTTGTCAAGATCAATGGTTTAAAAAACGGATCGGTGACCCGGATCGGGCTTCCAAAAAACCTATCCGGATAGGCGAATCGGCCATCCGGATCGGGAATCGGGTGAATCGGTCAGAATAAAGTTTAAAAAAAATCCGAAAAAATTATTAAAATTCATTATAAATATTGTTTTTTAGGAATTCAATAAGAAATGAGGGTACTCCATTAAGAATTTTTATGTTTTTGAATGAATATGCGAATATTGATATGTTCTTTCCCTGCATGAACTGCCATTCAGCATTTAATTTACATCATAACAGGATAAACATATAATTATCATGGAATAAGTATATCTAAAAATAAAATGATAGACGACGTTATTGTTCTTCTTGGTCACGCTGGTGCCATTGATTGAATTCGTTTAACAATTCATTGATTCGATCTAAAAACGAATCATCGATATTAGCAGGCGTTTGACTATTCTCAAATCCCTGAGTGTTAGTGTTTTGTTGTGTTCCCAATCTAAAATCCTCGAAGATTGTCCATCCTTCATGCTCACCTGCACTGTCGTGCTCATCCCTACACTGTTGTTGTTGGGACTCGATATGTGAATAATATTGGCTGGGATAGGGTGGCCTCAGAATCATCATCTCTCTCATTTTCTCTTTGAATAATATGGAATTAAAAAAAAAAAAACAAATTTTCAAAAAAATCGATCATGGATTAAAAAAAAAAATCACAAAATTTTCAAAAAATTCTATCATGGATTACAAAAAAAAATTTGATCATGGATTAAAAAAAAAAAATCACAAATTTTCCAAAAATTCTATCATGGATTACAAAAAAAAAAATCGATCATGGATTAAAAAAAAAAAATCACAAATTTTCAAAAAATTCAATCATGGATTACAAAAAATTCGATCATGGATTACAT